CTAAAACTAGGGCCCTATAGAAATGGACAAAGTTGAAACTCCCACCCGAATGGTTCACACAACAATAAATTGGACCATTCATATTAAATTTGGACGGATCAAATTTCAGTGTGAAACCCCTTCTGTAGGTGTGGAGGGTACACGTGTTTCTTCCTCGTATAAATGAGTGTAGATATGGGTGGGTGTATGTGGTTGTAATTGAAACCTTATACAAAAAATATTGACATCAAATCAGATTATAGATCAGAAGTTCTCAACCAACTGTTTTTTCTGCATCAGCTTAATCTGAGTAAAGAGAGAAAACCGAGAGAGAGAGGGGGGGAGAGAGAGGGAGAGAGAGTTATGAAAACATCACTCAAAACAAATGTTATTTTGAACAAATAACTAAGAAGCTAAACCAGTTTCAAGAATGCTTTCACAGGGGTCTTCACAGTGAGGATAACTTTTTCCGAAGTAAACTTGTCCAAAGGCATTTACATAAAGCAGAAAACACCAGTTTCCCCAAGATCAAGCAATGAAGTTCCCAATAAAATTTGTATTTGACAATCACAAATAGGAAAACTATTCAGTTATGGTATGCCTATAATGAAGTCCTCATTGTTGTATAAACATAACAATATGTTGCACCGCCATGCTTCAGACATTCAACCGGAAAAGAACCTTTTCCAAGACTGCCAAGGAAGAAATCCACCTGAAATACATTGTATATGAATGATTATACGCTAAACAATTTAATTACTGAGAAATAAATACCAGGAAATTCGTGCATGAAACGAAGCATAGACAGGCAGAGAAGATTATCAATACAACGCATGCCAAGATCATAATAACAAAACCCTGTAAATTGCATTATGTTTTTGAAATTAAGTGTTATCTTCTCGCTGGATTCATCATTCATAGGTTTGAAATAGAGTTAATTAGTACAACAGCAATTGCGCTGCTAGAATTACTAAACCGATAGCAGAATTAACCATTGTATTGTTATTTGTTGCATCCAAAGCAAATGCGTGGCCTCTTCAACTAGAAGAACAATGGGATTCATGGCTATTTTTCTTCAAGTTGCATGATGGTCGTGATTAAGAAGCTGTGATAAAATGATGCATTTATCTTGGTAAATGGTTGAGATGTGTGGTTGCAGTTAAAATCCAAAAGAATAGAAAAGTTAAAAATGGAAGAAAGAAAGAAGTTTAACTCAATCAACTACTATGCAGAAGAAGAACATGCAATCCTACCACATTCTGGGCAACGGAAATACTCCTTTTCCCTGATAACCAACCCTGAACCTCCACACTCCTCACATCTTTTCTGAGCTATCTGTCAAACAATGCAATTAATCACATCACTGTGAGAATAAGATTCACAACTTATGAATTAGTTGAGAAAAATTCTTAGACGGGGACCGATCCACGGAGGATAGGTATCGAGCCAATATTAAATAAAGAAACAAGCTTACTCAATTATCTGTAAAATACTCGGTTGTCATATTTTTGTTAAACAATGTGATAATCAATTCCTACAATTTGTTATCAGGATCGTATTGGCTTCTCAAGTATGATCTCCAGTCAGAATCTACTAAAGAATCTGTCAATAAGCGAAGGCCCAACAAAGCAAGAGCAAGAGTCACTTACAATTCTTTTGCTAAATTCAACTCCTGCCACCACAAAAGGCGTAACTCCAGCTACAAAAACAAAAAGAAAATATCATTACCAACAGAGCTCAATTTATCAAACCACACTATTAACAAAATCGAACGCGCCTATTTCTTCCAAGACAACGAAACAGCACCCCATTAAGGTTTAATCTTAGCTTATAATTGGAGGGAATAGAAATGCTTGTGAAGATTAGGGATTATCCCAAAAACAATACCTATAGTTCCGACCACAATTTGCCACGTGACTTGCACTGGAGCTGGGTCAATCAAAGTTTGTACATCGTTGATAGCGGCTCTGATCCTGGTCCTTCTGGCTGTTCTTCCATTCTGAACCGATGTGTTTTTGCAACTGCTCCTTAGAGGAAAATGAACCGTTGCTTTTGATTCGCGACAATACACTCTGCTCGGGGTTTTGGGAATCGTTGTGGAAAGCACAAACGAAGATGAAGAGACGGAAGCTTCCATGGCAGTATCCCGGCCCGGCCATCGAGTCACCGGTTCACAAGCCTGTATGCTGCCCGGTGGGCCCAGGGCTCGTGGCTTCGCGCCATCCGCTCGTAACTTCCGTGGACCGTGTTCAAGCAATGCTCTCCCTGTCCGAAACTACGTCGTATCAGTGGCTTTTCTCCTCTGGGATTTCTGACACGGAGGAAAATGTGTCTTATTTTTAATGATGCCGTTATGAATGTGTTCAGATACGCTTTCCCGTGCGCGCGCATATGTACGTAAATATTACCTCCAGTCCTAATTATAAGAACCAATTAATTAATTTGAGAAGATTAAAAAAGTAAGTTAAGTTAGTTATTTGTCCTAAATAGATGTTGTCTTTTCTAAAATATCCTTACTAATCAAGTGTATTGACTAGAACTATCATTGTTAGAATGTCTACTTTAGGAAAAAAATGTATAAATATGAGACAAAGTGGATTGGTGTCTTATATTTAGGACCAAAATAAAAGTTAAATAAGGTCTTATATTAAGGACCGGAGGTAGTACGAGTTACTTTTTTTAATATAAGATTTTGTTTAATTTTTATTTTGATTCTAAATATAAAATTCTAATCTACTTTATCTATCATATTTATACATTTTTTTCCAAATTAATCCTTCTAACAATGATATTTCTAGCCAATATACTTGATTAGTAAGAATATTTTAGGAAAAATAACACATATTTATTACAAATAACTAATTTAACTTCTTTCCTTAATCTCTTCAAATTAGTCAACTAGCTCTTATAATTAGGACCGGAGGTAGTATTACCTTTAATGCTTAATACTCCTCCCGTACTTAATATAATACCTAATTTTTGAGTTAATTTTGGTTCTAAATATAAGATTTATTTCTTATATTTATCATTTTTTTCTAAATTACCTCTATTGATACTCTCTCAAACATAATCAAATAAAAGAGGGAGGACATATATTAGGAGTTTGTTTGATTTTTATTTTGGTACTGAATATAAAACCTTAATTCATTTTATTTCTCATATTTATTTATTTTTTTCAAAATAGTCCCTATAATAATAATAGTTCTGACTGGATACTTGATTAACAATGATATTTTAAGAAAAATAATATCTATTTATTACAAATAACTAATGTAATTAATTTTCTTAATCTACTCAAATTAATTAACTAGTTCTTATATTGGAGGTAGTACTACGCTAAATAATAAGTTACCCAATACCTTTAAATTGATCTAAGTAATTCGACTTTTATATAATAAGTGGAACAACACATTAACTTAAAATTTAAAATTTAAGGTATGATGTGTTTTATTATTTATTACTTATTTATTCTCCCTTTTCATGCTTATCATGCTTATTTGTTTTTGCTTCTTATACTGAGGCGAAATAATGCATAAATTTCAAAACCACATCATATCAAGAATTAATAATCTTATTTATAAGTAACATTATACTCCTCCGGTCTTAACATTATATTTTAAGACCGGAGCAGTATCTACTAAAAAAGTAACGTTGTTATTTATCAACAAACATCCATTTGAGCGGTATAATGTATGGACCGGTAAGGGTGGAAATAGGCCAGGCGGCCTGTCAGGGGCCTGTGGCCTGGCCTGTAAATGGCCTGGCCTGGCCTGGCCTATTTAGATATTAGACCAGGCTCAGGCCTGTAAAAAGGCCTGTTTGCTTTATCAGGCCAGGCTCAGGCCTGACAGTAAGCCTGTAGGCCTGTCAGGCGGCCTGGGCCTGTTATCTTTTTTTTTTTTATGTTAAAATTATAAATTGATAGGAGGGATTTTGTTATTCTAATTGGTTAATTGAGAAAACTCCATCCACATAAACGTGTTATCTAGAGCCTATTGCATGCGACATTTCATTTCTATTCTCTATAATAAAAATAATTGATATATGTATAATGACACATATTTAAACAGAGAAAGAAAACATAAGTGCATTTAAAAAAAAAAGCATCATTCATTTATTTGATCCATGCTTATAGAATATATATATATAGAGAGAGAGAGAGAGAATTGACCTATTATGTTTTAGACCGTGTATATGTGTGCTCAATCTAATTCTTATTATAATAGTTACTTAATTAATTTGAATAAATAAATAAATAAATTATAATAACTGTAATTTTTTTTTAAAAAAAACAATCATGTGTAACAACAAGATCAAATATCATTTTGTTAGTAAATTAGTCTGAATAAATGATAAATTTAAAATATAAAAGGGATTAAGGATGTTTCATATTTTAAACTAGATCTAGTCATCAACTAATTTTTATACTAAAGATAGGATGAAGTGATATTTTTATATCAAAATGAAATTATGTTTTCTAATAATTTTTTATATTAGATTTTTTTTTGGACCTAAGGGGACATGTTTTACAAATTGTGTTAATTTGATAATTTCATATTTTTTGTTTGTATTTTAGATCAATTAGGTTGAATTATTATAATTTTGAATTGATTTATGTGTGTTTAAAATTTATTAAAAAAACAGGCCTCTTAACAGGCCACAGGCCAGGCCAGGCCTGATTACAGGCCAGGCTCAGGCCGATTAAAAGGCCTTTCACAGGCCGCAGGCCAGGCTCAGGCCAACAGGCCTCACCACAGGCCAGGCCTGTTAAGGGTGAGGCCTGGCCTGGCCTGGCTTGTTTCCACCCCTATGGACAGGGAAACAAGCATCACACCTTTTATTTTGAAAAATGAGTTGCATTTATCTTATTAAACGATTACTGAGCTGTCAACAGCCAATGGGCTCTTGACATCACACCTATGCCGGGTTTCAACGACACCGTTTCATGCATGGCCCACGCATTAATGACGCGCCAAATTGCGTCTAATTAACTGATTCTTCAATCCGGATGAAGCGGAGGGATGGAGGATAAGCCTCATGAACAGCTACGGGGAGATTCTGGTTTAGGGTTTTTGAGTATATTCTCTCATTCTTCACTATCTCCCTCTGGATATGGCTACCATTTCCACTTTCTACCCTTACAATCCCGTTCGACCTGCTTCTTCTCCGTCCTCTTTGTTTTCGAATTTGCGCGGCTGGCATTTGGTCTCAAAATCTGCTCGTGGAAGTGGAGCACACAAGTTCGTGGTGCTTGCGGCGCATTCCAACCCTAAAATTCTCAAGACTAATCGGAAATCGAGGTTCGGACAGACACTATCTCCGTATGACAGCGATGAAGATGATGAAGCATTGGAGGACGATGACGAGGATGATGATGTGCTAGATGATTGGCTATCTGATGTAAGTTTCTTCGTCAGTTCCTGATTTTTTTGAGCTATTGTTAACAGTTGTTTGCTCTGTTGGGAGCAATTTATGTCCTGTTGGGAAATGAGTTTACTTTACATTTTTACTTCATGATATTTGAACATTCTTTCTTTTAGCTCATCCCTGCTTTCGATGAATTCTTCTCGAATAAAAGTATAGTCTCTTGTTTCCGGTGAGAAATCGGTTGTTTTTTTTGACTGAGTTTATCTTTATGCTCCTGTTTTGGTGAATTATTCAGTTTCTTTTGGCAGATGTTTATATCTCTGCTCTCTGTGCTTTCCTATGATACATGGCTATTGGAGGTTTTTCATTTTTTATGTCTGTTTCTTATTTGTTATCTAGTAGCGCAGTGAGTGTTTTGATATTCACGAGATGCATTTTGATTTTCATATTTGAAAATAGCGTCAGTAATGTTGCGTATCGCCTTTGCAATAAAACTATTTGCAGTTGTGGACAGTTCTATTTCTTTAGTCACCGTATATGAATTTACCATATGAATTCTTCAAATAGGTGCCATCTTATTATTAAAGGAAGATTTCAACAAGTTGTTCGTAGTTACAGCCCTGCTTATTCATTATACGTGAATTTGCTTTATTCTAGGTTTTTGTTTTTCGTTTTTCGTCATGGAGAAGCTATGCACTTTAGTTATGATGCTGTGTCTGTCTGCCAGTGGCATGCTTGTAACTTTATTTTCAACAGTTCGTTAGATTTCGCTTTGCTGAAAACACAGCTGTTTCCATTGTGGAATTCAGGAAGAATTTGCAGAGCCTGCTGACTTTAATTCTAATGACAAGAAATTTAAGTCACAGAAGATAGAAGGTATGCTTTATTTGAATATTTTTATTATTATTATTATTATTATTATTATGATGATGATGATGATGATGTTTTAAGTGAAAATTAAATACTGCGTGTCCTGTCTGCAAATCTGTGCAGTAAAAGGTAGGCAACAGGAAAAAGGACGGGATGCGAGATCATTTGAAAGCCCTAAAATGTTAAAAAGTGATAAAGTGATATCCTTTGAACCAAATGGCAGTGTAAAGGTACAGAGATGTGATAAGCTGTAAGTGACAATGTCCATTTAATGTACAACTGAAGCTGAGGAACCCCATATTCTTTGTGTAACTGCAGGCTGGTAGAAATTTAAGGGAGAACAGATATCCTCGATTGTCTGAAGAGATAAATTTGGACAAGAAATGGATTCCGCTTCTGGACTATTTAAGCACATTTGGAATGAAGGAGTCGCACTTTATCCAAATGTATGAAAGGCACATGTCCTCACTTCAAATTAATGTATGTTCTGCACAGGAAAGGGTAGAATACTTAATGAGTGTTGGAGTCAAGCATAGAGATGTAAGAAGAATCATTTTGAGACAGCCACAAATTCTGGAGTATACAGTGGAGAAAAATTTAAAGGCCCATGTTGCATTTTTGATGGGTTTGGGAATACCAACTTCCAGAGTAGGGCAGATCATTGCTGCTGCTCCATCCCTGTTTTCTTATAGTGTTGAAAATTCTTTAAAACCAACAGTAAGATATTTAGTTGAGGAAGTTGGCATCAAGGAAAAGGATCTGAGTAAAGTCATTCAACTGAGCCCACAAATTCTCGTTCAGCGTATTGACATTTCCTGGAATATTCGGTATATGTTTCTAACCAAGGAGTTGGGAGCACCCAGAGATAGCGTAGTGAAGATGGTGACAAAACATCCTCAGCTTCTCCATTATAGCATTGATGGTGGATTGCTGCCTAGGATTAACTTTCTGAGGAGCATAGGAATGAGAAATTCAGACATCCTGAAAGTCATAACTAGTCTTACTCAGGTCATGCTTTGATTTAAAAGTACTCTGCTTTTTTTGTTGCAAACCCCCGCTCTTTTGTTTTATTTTAGACTGTTTTTGGTGGAAAATACCTGGAACATGAAAGAATGTTATTAGATAGTCATTATTGTCATCAATATCGTTTTATGTTTCTTTGCTATAATGCCAAAATAACTTAGCTCTTTCATTGATTTCTGCTTCTACAGGTCCTTTCCCTGTCCCTGGAGGAGAATCTAAAGCCCAAGTACCTGTATCTGGTAAATGAACTTCAGAATGAGGTTCAATCCTTGACCAAATATCCAATGTATCTTAGCTTGTCGTTGGACCAGAGAATACGTCCTCGTCATAGGTTCTTGGTTTCTCTGAAGAAAGCTCCAAAAGGACCATTCCCACTTGGATCACTGGTCCCAACTGATGAATGCTTTTGTCAGCAGTGGGCGGGGACTAGTTTGGACAAGTATTTGGCTTTTCGCCAGAGGCTTTTACTCAAGAAATTTGCTGAAAAATATGAAAAATCAAAATAAAATGTGTTGGTCCACTTACATGAGCACTGGAAGAGCAGTCTTATGTAAGCTATAATATCAGAAAACCTAAAGTTGTTGATATGATTGTCCATGATGGTTGCCGTAGTGGCTGAAGCTCAATCACTTTAGTTCATTTAGCAATATCTTATGCTGCTCTGCACTGATCTTTCAAGACGTTCAAATTTCTGTCGAATCTTCACCAAAGCGGTTCAACTTCTGTCAGTTGACTATTATTGTTCATGTCAAAGTCAGATGGTTCTTTACGAAGTTCTTGTGATCAGAAAGGCAGAACACATGAGGTTGAGGTCTGTCATCTTAAGACGAGCATGTTTAATAGTTCATACATTAGATATGCTCTGTGAGTTGACCTCCAACTCATCGCAGGTTGTGAACAATACTGCAAGCAAGCTGTCAAGATCAAAGAAGTAAGCTGTTGTAACTTAAAGATCCTTCTTACGGATGCTGTGGTTGTTACGTCCTCTTTTTCCTTTTTACAGGCAGTAGTGCCCTCTGTTATTTTTTCCCTTTCATTCTTTTGTATATCTCGTATAGAGGACTTCTGCTGTTATAGTTGTCACCAAAATAAGAACCATAATAATATAAGAAACAAAATTCACTTTTGAGCTTTTGGCACGTACACAGTAAACTGTTAATGCATTTGCATGGTTTTGTTACAGAATACTCTCGAGCTATAATTAGATCATGGCACGGAGAATCAGTTTGGTGTTATTTTATCCTCTCATTTTCCTTATTACAGATTACAGAAAAGAGAGAGCTTATCACCTTAGTATCCTGTCTGGTATATTTCTTGTGTGAGAAAGGAGTACTCATGGTTGTGAGAAAGATAAAGATATCCATATCATAATTCATATCAGGGCATTGGTACTCGTGGAATATATATACGTGGCATTTGTGGTGCTTGAAAGTTTTGCTTATCTTAGCCCTTTCAATTGGTTAGAATTTTAGGTGATATAATAAAACAGGAGTGCAACACATGGAACATTCAATTGATGTTTACTGATTTGTTTAACAATAATTTTCATCGGATATTATAAAGAATTTTTCGAAATTATTTCCATGTCCTTGACATTTGTAAACTTGCTAGCCACATTTCATTTTCCTTGGACCTATTCCCGATTGAAGACAAGGGAGGAGAATTAAAGAGTTTTTGGATGTGTTTCCTGTCATGTCATACCTTTCAATTTCAATTCCCCATGACAATCGGATTGCTTTCAAGTCCATTGAAATTATGTGATCAGTTCACGCGGGCACCGATTTTTTTAGAAGTAATCTTTTTTAACTTTTTCATTTAGATAAAATATTAAGAAAGGGGTGGGGAAGCAAAAGACGTTTGAGTTAATATATTATTGAAAAATATTTTTATAAATAAATATTTTTAATATCTTAAGGAATTATAGCTTGGGAAAATCACAGCAAAAGACCGTGGAATTAAAAAAAATTACATACAAGGATTGATTCACAAAAATTGTTATCAAAATCTATACTATTGTTGTCAAAACTCATACTAATGTTGTTATGGGTCTCAATTGGTAATTTTTCTAATTTCATAATCTTTTTTTGCGATTTTTCCATTATAGTTATATATAGGCAATTATTGAATTCTAATTCTTCATTTCTTGTTGAAAAATAAAATATACGAGACCAACAACTGGAGATATTGGCAGATAAGCCATAAAACATTACAAAAACTTCAGATGGAATCATCCCTAAAATATTAAAAACTTTATCATAGCAAACATCTAATTAACCTCAGACAAATTCTAAAAGTTGAAAAAATGTAAAAATTGCTTCATATATGAACATATGCCTGATGACTACAGTAACATCCCAGCTACATAGCCTTTAAAAGAAATGAAACAACAAACTTTCTTTCTATAGCTAAAAGGTAAAAACCTATGGTCATCTTCTGTGTAACCATGTATTCTTCTTTGTTCCCAACAATTCAAAGAGAATTTCAAAAAAAAAAAACTCAGCTTGTATGTACTTGCCATAGACTTAAACAACGAACTGGTAGAGAAGAGCAACGTAAGCCTTGTAAGTATATCGAATTAAAGAAGCTGCTTTTTTGTCTGGTGCTGTTTTTAACTCTATATGTCTTTCTCCTGTATTAGTTTCCAAATCTATATAGCTGCAGAAATCCCACTATCGGTCGGAAATGCAAAAGGGCTATCAGGCAGATCCAGTCCTTGGCTGCATAATTTCATTTTGAAATATATATTATTATCTGGAGATACTTTTTTTAAAAAAAACAAGAATCCCAATCAAAATTTATAAGAAATCGATTCATACCCGTCCTCATCAGTGCTATTGGTCTTTATGTACCTAGGTTTGTCAATCGCAGTATAGTTTAAAGATTCTGTAGGCTGAAAATTAAAAGGGTCTGCACAATACAAGAAATCATATCGAATTAGCATAACATAGGTAGAATAGTACGACTTTAGATTTATACACAGATTGATGTTGATATTTCTCATACACACCTCTTGAAGCTTTTAGCCCGTCCATGGAAAATCCAGGATACGGTGGATTAAACGCAGGGTTTTGGTTTAGCTGCAGCTCGGCAAACCGTCTCCTCTGAAATTCGAAGGCTTGCTCTTGCTCTTCACAGAACTGTCTCCTCAGAAACTGAGGGTCACCAAAACTTCTTGACACTATAGAATCAGTGTATCAGTATAATGGCTTCTTGTACAGAAGGTATGAGAATAAAGGTGACTTCTATTCAAAAGCTTGAACCATTAAACTAAGGCCCTTGAACAATTTCTTTACAATCGCATGTGATTCCTCATATGCAAACTTTTCGGGTTTGAGGTGTGGATCACACACCCTACGTATAAATTTTAGATTGCTTGGTTGTAAAGACTTTAATATCATGCCAAAAACTACTTTAACTCGAAGTCTTAAGGTAATAAAAGAGAGCTCATGAATTTTTTTTCCTCAATAATCTCTAACAAAACAAAACCAACTGAAATCAGATCGCAATCATATCACAAAATAATCCAAATCTTTCACATTCACCAAGTAAATGTAGTGTGCAGTTGAAGAGAAATAGATGGAGAGGTGCAAGACCAAGAAGCTTCCAACATCAGAAGCTGTTTAGACCCCCCCCTCCAACTACACCCTGTGCGGTACTATGAAAAAAAAAAAAAAATTTCAACCACAATAATCATTTCAAATGGTTATGTCATGGAGGCAAGAAAACCACTGATGCATGCAAGTTTTCCAGTATTTTAAAACAGAAGATGAGTTTATAGATTTCAAACCAGAAAAAGATATCATACTCACTTGAGGTAAGTTCAGAATGTATATCTGCATATTGTGGTGAATAGCAAACAGGAGGCTCAATTCTATCAGGGTGTTTCCTGCATCAAATTTGAGGTGCATACATAAGTAAAAAAAGCTAGCGCATTACTTAGGAATTTAGAGAATCCTTCAAGAAGGATACTTAGGTAGCGGTTAAGTTCATAAGCATTAAATGATACTAGCATGTGTCAATGTATTTTAATTTAGAGATTTTAGAAGTTTTGAAAGCTGAAACAACAACCCATTCACTGATCAGAAATACAGATTCAAGCATGAAAAGTCAATTCCTCTCCCATGAAAAAGAGGCATCCAGGTATTTCACCTGTCAATGATCTTTGATTTTTCCCTGTAGGGTTTCACAAGCACCCGGGAGCCCTGAACATAATGGGGGTTCCCCTTGTCCAAAACTGTCTTAACAGTTTCCGGATCAGCGAATGTTACAAATCCAAACATCCTCCTCTGCTGACATGGAATTCTTACATCTTCAACAGTTCCAAAATTGCTGTAAATGAAAAGCAATTTAACACAACTCATCAACCCAAACCACTAACTATAATGAAGTGACAAAAAGCATTTTAGATACAAAAACTTTAGCTTACCTAAAGTAGTTTGAAACATCCTCTTCTGTGAAACTGCAGTCAGCTGGGAAAGTTAAATAAATCTGTCGTGCTGCACTGATATTTTGACCGGGGTCTCCTCTTTCCAAGTATTTTGGTGCATCTTCTGCCAGAACTACCGCATGCTGCCCATGAGGTCTGTAAGAAAATCAACCACAAGTTACAGGACACATTCAAATAAGAAGCATTTGACCAATTTACTGTATAGGATTGCCTGTCGATGAGATTTCACCTGTCTATGACCCGAATAGCATTTTTCAATCGGGCAAGAAGCTTTGTCAAACTATAGCCAGATTTTCCATGTCTCTGGCTCTCAGTTAGATAACCATCAGCCTGAAGTACCTTTTTATACTTCTCATAGTATGCCATTGGGAGGGACGCAATTGTAATAGGATTGCCTCTTCTTGATTTCAGAAGCTCAACAATTTCTGACTCTAACTGCGCTAATGATCCTGGTGGAATTAATTGATCATCATTACTTGCATCATTTCCAAACATTTGAGAAAGTCTCTCAGACCCAACTTGCCCGTGATAATATCTACAGCTACTTCCATGTTTGCAGAAACCTTTGTTAAAATAATGACAGGTCTTGACAGGAAATTCGGACGAAAACCTTCTACCAGCTTTTGCATTCAAATTTCCTGGGGAAGTATCTAAGCTATAATAGTCATTCACAATCCCACTGTTTCCAGCAATCACTGGAGCCATATTATTTTCCAAGCCAAACAACTGGGTCTGCTTCTGAAGTTCTGGCATGGAATCCAAGTAACTCATTGGCATAAAATCTGTGTTTGTAGTGTTAGTATTAGACTGTGGTTCCCAAAAAGCCGGGAAGCTTGCTGGAGATGTAGGGCTTCTAGAAGAAATCATGGATAATTGGCTTAAACCATGTTGTGCAGAATTCAAAGGAGGTGGGACAGGAAGTATGGAAGATCTAGAAGACAGCCTTTGCAGCTCCATTTTGGTCTTAAATGCCACGTCTCTTATCACATGATCAGGGCATGACGCCAATTTAGCCATTTCCTGCTCACCGTGATCTTGTAGGAGGAGGTAGCCAATTATTTTTGTTGCATGCTCAGCATCAAATTTCTGAATTCTATCGAAAACAATTCTTGTATGGTCTGAAATATCCATAGCTTACCTTATCACTGCCCAAAAAAAAAAAAAATCAACTTAGCACAAAGCAGCCATTGCAGATTGAGCATAAAGGTAAAATCTGAAACCTAACGTTAAAAGAAGCAATGGATCAATATAAGTCCTCCTAACAAGGGGAACACACATTGTTCTTCAGCCCCAAGGAACCCTATTTCATGAATCAAAATATAGTAACCATAACAAAACAGAGAGAGGAAAAGAATCCTGAAAAAGATTGATGCTTGATAGAGAACTAGATTTTCTCCAGTTTTTCTCTGTTTACACCGAGAAAGAATGTTACTTTAGCACAAAGAATTCTGACAAAGAGTAATACTAGACAGTGAATTATGTTGTTCAGTTTTCCTCTATTCATGCCAAGAAAGGAAGTTTTCTTTAGCACAAATGAGATAGGACTGTTTTTCCTGATTTGGAAGTAAACAGAGAACGTTAGGGAAAAAATCGCGCGTCATCTCCAAGCAACATAAAGAAGAACTGACAGTCGATTCTGAAACAAGGAACGAAAACTGCAGAAATCGAAGGCAATTGAATCTCAAAGGTCAAAACACATTTTCGGAATCAAAATTACAATAAAGAGACATCGTTCAAATTTGCATACCGTTAGAAGAAAGGAAGACAATTACTCAAATGTTTTGCAAGCAGCCATTGTTAATGATTAAAAAACACTCAGAATACATATGAGAATCTGGAGAAACACAAAAGAAGTCAATTAAGTTTCTATCTTTTCCAGTGTTTCAAAATTTGAAACCTTCGTTACTTTTAGAAAAAAGTTGCAAAAAATCAAAGTGAGTTTATTCTTAAGAGCCCCTTTTTCTTTTCAAAATCAAAAACACCAATCGAAAAGAGACCACACACACACAGCATCCTCCCAGTTCACACATACCCATCAAAACCCAGAAGACAACCCGTTCTTGAAATGCCTCAAGGTCCAATCTTTAACCCATGAATCAGAGAAATACAGGGAAAAAAATTTTCAGAACCGAGAAAGAATCAAAGACGAAACAACCTAATTAGTGTCTCTCTCTTACCTAGTAGAAGAAGAAGAATAAGAAAGAGTATGAAGACTGAAGAGTGAGTAACCCCCACATAAACACAACCACACTGGCACACTACACACTAATCAGTAATCACTGATATATGTGGGCTCCGTGGAGCAGTGGGTTTTGAAAATCAAATGCACAGCTGTTAAATAATCAGAGATTTGAGGCAAATTATTATCCTTAATTCTCGAAAAACCATAACTGCTTCTTCATGCTAATGAAATTACCTATACGCCCCTCTGATATTATTATTTTATTTGATTATAAGATATGTGCTACTAGATTAGGTTGGATAAACATATAAAGTTACTATTAGACTAGATTAGCTCGGCAAAACCGATGTTGTGTTTGCTAATTTTAACAATTAATTATAGCTCTTAGCACTGCCCAGGTCGGCAATATACATTTATCTTAAGGAACACAAACATGGATTTTCCTTTGTCTCTTTTTGTTTTTCATTTTTTAAAAAGAAATTATAAGATGGGGCCTACTTAAATCTGAGCCACTAGGTGTGATTCTGAGGCTAACGCCTCAAATTTTGCTAGATTATCTGTGACCAATTCAATATATTAATACCCATGTAGATAATAAAATTTATTAAAAAAATCACGTTATTTATAATTTATAAACAGTAGATTTTATTTTTCAAATCTCATATAATACATAAAATAATAAATATAAATATATAGTTTGTTAAGATAATATCAGTTGTGTAGAAATATCAATATATGAATTAATACTCTTAAGATCGAAAGTTGAATGAGCTACTTTTACCAATAAAATTATCATTTTTATATGAATAATAAATTTAAGCTAATCATTTATGACATTATGAGATACAATTATTAGGACAGAAATGAGAAAATTTTTACAATACATATCATATATGATTTCTTAAATAAAATGCAAAATTTATAATTTACATGCGCATGTATACATACACATGTGTGTATAATTTTAAATTACTTGAAGCTGACTCTCAAATATGTTTTCTAATTTACGATACAAAATAAATTAATTATGAAAAATTTTATCTCTAAAAATAAAAATGATATTTTCAATTTCAAAAATAATTTTAAAAAATCTTGTGAAAAAATTGAATTTATTTGGAGGGAACATACACAACCACACAGGATAAAACATGTCGCCATATGAAACCTAAAAGGCTATTAATCACGTGGCATGGCCCACTTGATCCTAAGCTTCACTCTCATTGGCTATTGCTTTCTTTGGCAGATAATAATTGGTCACGTTTTTGTTTTTTAAATTGCACACAATAAGATTAAATCATAGTATTATTAAAACTTATCATAAATTGGGTTTTAAGTTATAGCTGGATTTTTTTTGGGTTGATAAAATTTGGGAAAGATAAATTATCATACTTTTTGAATGAGATTTCACTCACTGGAAATTTTAGAATTCATATAAAATATCTTTGTAAATGCTACTCTTTAACCTATAAAATATGTCTTATTAATAATGGAATTGTTCAATTGTACCTTATTAAAATTAGCAGTCAATTAACTCTAAACAAGTTATTAATTTTGGTAGGAAAATAGAATTATATATTCACCATTATTTGCAAATAACTAGTAAACTTAAAAAAAGAAGAAGTAATTATCAATTTCTTTGTAATTAATTGATAACTAATTCTAATAAAGTAGTTTTCAATTGAACAAATTCACTAACAACTACCTAACAGGGATTGACAATTTCAATATGGTAGATTGACAATTATATTATAGCAAATTTTAGCATATCTATAAATACATAAATTAATATATAGTTTATGATAAATTTTAGCACATATCCTATTATTAAGGAAAAATGACTAAAAAATGATTGTTAAAATTTGAAATAACAAAATAGGCATGCAAATAATTAAAATCACTAAATGGACCTGAGATATCAATATGGAATTTTGACAATTCGGTAGAAAAACTAAAATGCCCTTGAACTCTCTGAAAACATGAACAGACGGTAACTCTCAATACGAAAGTTGTAATTCAAATTACGAATATTGTCATTATCATTACCAGGATAGTGAAACTGGCTCTAAATACATATTACTTGGGTTTAAAAGAAACGAGTTGTAAATGGCAATAGTGAGATGGTAACTCTTATTACAAAAGTTGTAATTCACATTACAAATATTGTCATTATCATTATCGAGATAGTGAAATTGACTCCAAATACATGTTACTTGGGTTTGAAATAAACGAGTTGTAAATGGCAATAGCAAGATGGTAACTCTCATTAAAAAAGTTGTAATTCATATTACAAATGTTGTCATTATCATTACTAGGATAGTGAAATTGTTTCCAAATAAATGTTATTTGGGTTTAAAATAAACGAGTTACAAATGGCAATAGCGAGATGGTAACTCTCATTACAAAATCATAATTCACATTACAAATGTTGTCATTATCATTACCGGAATAATGAAATTGGTTCCAAATACGTGTCAGGGCATTTTAGTCTTTTTACCGAATTATCAAAATTCCAGATTGATACATCATACTTATTTGGTGATTTCAGTTATTTATAAGCCCATTTTGTCATTTCAAATTTCAATAATCATTTTCTGATATTTTTCCTATTATTAATTCCTTGTATGTCTGAGACATGTCAGCAAGTGCTCATTGGAGCATTTCGGTTTTCAAACAAACGCTTCAAAAGAAAATTAAAAAAAAAAAAAAAGCAACCATGGATTTTCCAAATTACTTGCAGCTTTTGCTCCTTTTCTTTTTCTTTTTCTTTTTCTTTTTCTCCCCTCTTTTTTGATAATTTTTTTTCCTTTTGATGGGTATATTAAAAGTGGATGAAAGACAAGATGTATGTGTATATAACTTTAAGTTATATCATATTATTATTTTCTTCTAATATATAAACATAAATTGTCGTATACACTCTATAAACAAGTCCTCAAAAGTGGAAAATCAATGAAGCCGGCATCATCATCGATCTCAATCCCCCTTTACTCTCTTTGATTTTTATTTTTTAATTAATTAATTTTGCGTCCCATGAAGTAAATATTTAATAATATTTTTATTTTGTAAAAACATAAAAAAAGAATTATTTCTAAACTCTCCCAAATATGCGTGAAATCCCCTTTGCTTTCGTTCTCAGCGCAATAATAATTTAAATATATAGTGGCAGAAAAATTTTACTCGTCACTTTCGATTCTTTTTTTTCAAGTGATGGAACATATAAACTAATATAAAATACTAATTAAGTTTAAATTTTGTGACGGTACCTACCGCGGAGATAATAATGTATATAAATAGTACTAGTACTTCACAAAATTAATTTAGTTTTGATAATCACCATCATGATCGGTTTATATAATTATTAAATAATGAATTGGCTTTGAGTTGTGGAAGGCAGATGTCATTTTCAATTATTTGTTATCTTAGAAAGAAGCAGTTTTACGTGTGTTGTGTTTATATGATAATTAACAAAGTTGACTAGGCTTTGGTTTTAATTTCATGTCTGTTGGCCCAAAAACAAACATGTGTGGATATTATCCCCAGAACTGTTGCTATGCTTCAAACCACAGAGGTCAAGTTTCCAAAATTTGGCATCAAAAAAAAAAGATATAATTATATCAACAACATCACTATTCATTTTCGCCTCACATAGCTGAATTGGAAATAATTATAATTATACATGCAATTTTGGGAAAATTTTCCAAAAATCACAATTGCAAAATTTATCCCACAAGTGCATGTGAAATTTGTTTAAAATTCAAGCAATGTAACGTATCATCTGGCATATGTTTATCTTACAGGGTGCGGAATAAAAAAGGTTTGCGTAGCTGAGGATATGTCGTATAAATTGAAGAAGAATTGCACTTGTGTGAAGATGAGTTAGTTGCATCTCGGGTACCTGAGTACTTAGATATCTTTAAGTAATAAATCTTGCAATGGGATTTTTCAGCAATTTTCTTTATAATTTTCTAAAAATATATATGTGGGAATGAATATATGATCAGTCACGGTCAGATTTGTTGAGAGTAGGAGAAATGCCCAGATCCGCAAATGATGCAACTAATTGGGCCTCTCTTCTATTTTTTGTTTTTAGATTTTGTCCCCCCCACTCCTCCCTCTCTTCAATCATACTTCCCATTCTCATTTTACAATTTCAGTTATTTCTTAAAAAAGTAAATTATTTAATTTGTACAGTTTTTTTTTGTGAAAATAATTTATACAGTTTTGATTCAGTTACAATCTAATTCTCTAGAGTTTAACTCAATATTCAAATTTCAGATATTTAATCCGTTGATTCCTCTCTCTCTCTCTCTATAGATAAACTTTTATGACTGTTTCCTTACAACTCAATTCGTAAAGGATTAGATATTTTCTGAAAATATAGGAGGCAATGGATTAAACAGCTGAAACTTGAGTGATTGAGTTTGATGAGTTAAATGTTTAGAATTAATAGAATTGGAACAAATATATGAATTTTCTTTTCTTTTTGTTTTTTTAAATAGCGATCATACTCTCCAATGGTTTTTTTTATTTCACCGCACATATATATCTTCTTATAGGAGACAATCCTATTTGAAGTATTTCAAACATTAAATTGGACAACTCCACTCTCAACTAATAAATTTTGAATAATTAATTTATCATATTATGAGGAATTAACCTCCTTTCGCTAAACTTAAAACTCCACCTCCGTTCTAGTTGCTGGGTGAATGTGGTAGAATTACAGTTAAAGCATTAGCCCCAATGGTTGGGCCAATTCGTTAGCCCAACTCTTTTAATTTGTTATATATTCCCTTTTCATCTTTAATAAAATAAATATCATAACCAACAAGTGTTTGGTTTAGGTGGAAGGGACTTGGGTACCTTAAACATCATGTTTTGGGTTCGATCTTTAGGATGGTTGTGTATAGAACAAACACTGTTAGGAGGGGTCCTCGTACGGCGCTTGACAGTATCCCGAAGATTAGTACGACGCCTAACAGTATCTTGAGAGATTAGTCTCTCACCGTTCGAATAGGAGGATATCACTATATTTATCTCAGCTTTTTCCTTACTTCCCTAACTAAA